CGGCGTGTTTTATGCGTACTAATCTCGCAAAATTAAATGTCGATTATTAGGTAACAAATAAGTTATTATATTTTTTTTTTTTTTTAATTTTACTACATTTAGAAAAGGTTAATATAAATCTTTTTCTGAAATTCGTGTCCATAATATCGATATGGATATTTTTATATATGTGGAATAGTTTCTAAGTAACTGTTATGGTCTTACGAACTCTGTTCTTCACATGTATAAATTGATTGTTAAATACGAATTAATATTTCTACTCAACTAAATGTAAAATCGGTCGTCGCATTAAGTGTACGCACGTAAGGGTCATTAATATGGGTGTGGCATACCGACTACGTTCCTACGCAACAACGGAAGATACGGGTTTATGGACCAAAGAGAAAACGTGTCCTGTTGAAGATAGCGTATCACCAAGAAACAACGGCGGCGGCGTCTACCACTACCTAGGCTCTCACCAAGTCGTAAACAAGATGACCAGGAAAACTACAAAGGGAGTTCTATTGAAGTTATGAGTTTAAACCACCAATGACGCAAGAGACGGAGGAGCACCACCACTTCAACAATTACCCGTTCAGTCATTCCTATATTGTACTTATAGCTGAATATTAACCCGGGTTTGGTGTCGCAACGACACTACATATGACTACAATTATAAAATGATACCGGGTTTATGCAAAAAATTAATAAAAAATAAACCTGACCTAACGTAACCTAATCCAACCACAAACTTCAAAGGACGTCCTAGTATAACGGGGACTGATAGTTATTATTTGTAGCCATTATTATAGATAATTTAATGTATACCTCTAAGCAATGATAAACCATTGCTTACAAAAAACAATTTTGAGTGGAGTTCAGTTGATAATAGTTCTTTGTTAACAACCTAAACGAAGTCTATTCAAAAAGTATTAAGGCATGTAGTATCATTGAGTATCGAAGAGCAGTAGAATTAATATTACTTACTTCTATGACTTTTTCTGGGTACTTTTGTTTTTATTGATTCCCTATAAATTTGTTCGGTTTAATTCCACCGATATTTTTGTAAAAATATTTTTGAGTTTGGTGATTTTTTTAATGAATCTAAAAGAAAAGCAATTTGATAGTTTTGAATAGTTGATGGTGATAGTTTGTCTCCAATATAGATTATGTCATTTTATAGTAAAATAACTAAATAGGCTTTATATATTTTCCTTAATAATAATTGTTTAATTTCAAACTAATTTTTCCAGTTTTTTCTACGTTTTTCCCGGTTTTCCCATGTTTCATCCTGGGTTTTCACATTTTCTAGGAAAACTCTTGGGAAGATCGAAAAATTACCTCTCTAATCATTGAAAATTGGAGCCACATTGTTTGTAGAAAAGTTATCTACAGGAAAAAAGAAGGCCGTAATATATTTTAACCAATACCTAAATTTCTTACATTTTCCCGTTTTTCCTCTGTTGTTTATCGGTTTTTCAAATCTGATGAAAAAACTGTAAAACTCGAAAATTGTCGACTCTAAAATACATCCATATTGAAATTTATTTTTCGAAAATTTGCTTTCATTATAAATTGGAACAAAATTGCTGGTTGATATATTGGAGTATGATTTCTAGTAGATTTCTTGTACACAGTACAAACAAAGAAAAAAAAAAGCATCAAAGTAAAACCAATACATCCGTCATTTAACTCAAATTTTTTTTTTTGATTTTGAATGGAATTAACTTCTTATACAATAAAAATTATGAAATACATACAGTTTTAATCATGTTTGTTATAATCAAATGCGTACTATACCACAGTACTACAATTTAGCCAACATTGTAGTTTAGAAAAATACTATCCTGAATCGTGGTATCTGTACATAGAGCCAGTATATTGTATCAAATTGATTAGTTGCATAGATAAATAAGCAAAATATAAAATTAGTTGCGATATTCAAAATTAAATTGAATTTTTTATTTTCTAGAGCCAGAATCTAGTACGCAACAGAGTAAGTAATTTTTTTTTAATATTCTTCACAGTTTAAAAAAAAAAAATAGGTAACAAAATAAAACTATATACAAAGTGAATTACTAAGCCTGTCCTATACGTACAAATCTCGCAGTATTTAAATGTCTTTGATTAGCTAAAAAATAGTTAAAATTATTATTTTTAATTTCACCATGTCCAGAAATATTTAATGTAAAATTTGTTAAAATTTTAAGTCCATAAAATTGATACGAATATTTTTAATTGAATTTCAACAAATAATAAAATTGAAAAAATGTTGTAGTTTTCAAATATGTATTTTTATGCATAATAAATAATAAGACATGAGTTTCCAAAATAGCAATAAATTTCAGTGTCAATGGAATACAAGAGTAGTATAGAATGTATAATAATATAACTGTGTGTCCGCAAAATAGTTTTTTACAATATATTTTTCATTGGACAACCACATATATCTATAAGTTTTATCTAGCTAATCGTCGGGGTATTAAATATTTTAATAAATTGTTTAATCA